AGTTACATCCACAATGTTCTGTGTGTGAGGTTTACAATGTCAGAACACCTGCATGAGACAGGTGTTAATTACAATCTGCCAGAATGACTCACCGCCTTCAGATTCCTCCAACACCGTTAAAAATGATCAAATACGGAACATATCGGCGTGCGCAGGCCAGAGCGCTGAAGCTCGGCGCATTGTTATTATGAAGCTAGTGCACATGCAGAGGACACACACACACACACAAAAATATACTTGTTTTCAATTACATTTATTGGGCCCACTTACTTTTTCTTAGGCCCACCCACAAATGAGTTTCTACGCTAATGGTGACACCTGGCAGACTTCTCTGAGCTCCGCAGCCATTACACTTTTCACCTTGTGCACCCCCTAGCGGCAGCTCGCGTACCCCCAGGGGTGCGCGCACCACACTTTGGGAATCCCTGATCTAAAGGATCTGGAACCCTCTGCAGGTGTTCTGGATTCATCAGCTGTGAGCCGTAATCATCACAGGTATAACTACAGGCTGAGACATCTGGCTTTGCAAGGAGCAAGTCCGTCTCATAAATGAGTTTCACCTTTTCTCTTCTGGCACTCAGAGCACAGACGCTTCCCTTCTTGCTCCCCTATCTTTTCCCCCAAGGCTCTTTGTCCCGTCTGCCTACAGAGCGCTTCTCTGCATTTCTTCTGGGAATCCCTATTTTTTTTAGAAATGGATTTAATTAACTGGTCATTCAACACGATTGATAAGATCTTTTCCACGATGAGAACGGAGGAGGGGGCTCCCACCTGTCCTCAAGGTACACATGCAGCGGGATAAGCGCTCGATTCCTGAAAGGTCTGGAGGATCGTTTGTCTCTCTCAGCTGTCCATTGAGGACGTCGAAGATATGTGGATATTTGGCTTGATGATTACTGGATTTCTTCTGATTGGAGTGGGAGGATATCTGGTTTTCTGGAAATTTGGGAAGTCGGGAGCGATTGGAGTGCAACCCGCATCCATGGACGGCACCGCCCGGGCGGATGCCTCACAGTCTGGGACGTTACTCGAGGTGAACCGTAAGCTGGACAATGTCCTAGCTGTGTTACCGGTATGAGTGCTCAAAATGGATGTCATCACGGAGCGGGTCACTGGAAGGTGTGGAGATGTTTAATACCTGAATTGGCTTCACTGGAGGACTTGAATGATCAGTTACAGACTTAAAGGCAGAGTGGAAAATTATCTCTACCTGACCCAAACAAAGTCCTGTTATCCAATCTGACGCCATAAGCAGCCTTGGAGTTGTGTGCAAAAACCCCCACGATGGAAGGAATGCCGACGAATGCTGTGAAAACCCGACCCCCACCCCCCACCCCCCACCCACCCGCCTTCAGATTGTGGTCTCTGCATAGCGAGGTCATCAAAATGGAGGAACTCACTGTGCTCTGTGCTTTCCCATGACCTCCCTCCCACCTGTGGATTCAGTTGGCCGAGCGCCACACGGGCTGCTCCTGCTGAGGAAACCAGGGTCCCAGCCCCCCCCCCCCCCCCTGCCGGGTCTCATGTTGTGAACTGTGTCGTTCGTGCTTACATGTAGAGGTGTTTTTTTGCATAGTAGAGCTACACCCTGCCAGGAGTAGCTCTGTTAATGCCTTCTTCTCCCTCCCCGAACTCTCCTCATGTAATCCCCTCTTCATCTATTGAAATGAGCGCCGTTATGGCTGCTCTAGCGGTCTGCCTGTATCTGTCCTGTCTATATGTGTGTGTGTAATCTTGGTCAGGCTGTTCTGTGGAGTCAAGTTCCTATGCTGTGGTTCGCTGGAGCGCTGGCAATAAAATTCTCTCTGATTCTCTGATTCGCTTTTAGGTTGAATTACTGACAAAAAAGAACTTTTGCACCAGATTCACATTTTTTTGTTTCACCTGTCTGAAAGATCTGGATCAGAACCGGCAGAACCAGATCTTATCCGAGCAGCTGAAAGCGACTGGATCAGCACAAGAGAAAAGGTCTGAGTAGAGCCGCTGCTCCTCCTCATCGACAGGAGTCCGCTGAGGTGGTTTACAGATGGCTCCATGAGTCTGGGTCAGAACCAGTCCTCGCTGGTGGGATTATTTATCTTCTCTGGTTTGTCCGAGAATGACTTGGGAACTCCCAGAAGGTGTGCATCTGAGTCCTGGGTGAACACGATTGGGTTCTGATGTACCGAGGATCAAATCACAGATCGGTTCTCCAGAACAAAAAACAAAACAAAACAAAAAAAAACAACCAGAAGGTTTAACTGGGAGTTTTGGTCTCGTTTTCTTCGACTTTTTTCCATTTTTCTTCTGGTTTGTGACCTAAAGTGTGACTAGTATCGCCACCTGCTGGAGATGATGTTATTTACCTCAAACCAGGTAAAGCCAACAAAACCTTCAGATTATTTTTCATTGATTTAATCCCATTTAGTGCAGCTTGGAGTGAGAATGGTTCTGGAGCAATAAACACAGATTTAGAACTTTGAGACGATTACATAAACCACATCAGCAGACCTCAGATAGACCTACTGGACCTGAACCTGGATCTGGACCTGGACCTGAACCTGGATCTGGATCTGAAACTGGATCTATGCCTGGACCTGGACCTGAACCTGAACCTGGACCATGGATCTGGATCTATGCCTGGACCTGGACCTGAACCTGAACCTGAACCTGAACCTGGATCTGGACCTGAACCTGGATCTGGATCTGAAACTGGACATGGATCTGGATCTAGACCTGGACCTGGACCTGGACCTGAATCTGAACCTGAACCTGAACCTGGATCTGGACCTGAACCTGGATCTGGATCTGAAACTGGACATGGATCTGGACCATGGATCTGCATCTGGATCTAGACCTGGATCTGGACCTGAACCTGGATCTGGACCATGGATCTGCATCTGGATCTAGACCTGGATCTGGACCTGAACCTGGATCTGGATCTGAAACTGGACATGGATCTGCATCTGGATCTGGACCTGGACCTGGACCTGAACCTGAACCTGAACCTGGATCTGGACCTGAACCTGGATCTGGATCTGAAACTGGACATGGATCTGGATCTAGACCTGGACCTGGACCTGAATCTGAACCTGAACCTGAACCTGGATCTGGACCTGAACCTGGATCTGGATCTGAAACTGGACATGGATCTGGACCATGGATCTGCATCTGGATCTAGACCTGGATCTGGACCTGAACCTGGATCTGGACCATGGATCTGCATCTGGATCTAGACCTGGATCTGGACCTGAACCTGGATCTGGATCTGAAACTGGACATGGATCTGGACCATGGATCTGCATCTGGATCTAGACCTGAACCTGAACCTGGATCTGGACCTGAACCTGGATCTGGATCTGAAACTGGACATGGATCTGGACCATGGATCTGCATCTGGACCTGAACCTGGACATGGATCTGGACCATGGATCTGCATCTGGACCTGAACCTGAACCTGGATCTGGACCTGGACCTGGTTCTGGATCTGGATCTGGATCAGGATCTAGACCTGGACCTGGACCTGGACATGGATCTGGACCATGGATCTGCATCTGGATCTAGACCTGGATCTGGATCTGAATCTGTGTCAGGACCTGGACCTGGATCAGACCCGGGTCTGGTATTGTAGGAGGAAGATGGACTCAGATGACTCCTCTTTTATTCTAAACATGAAGAATTCGATCAGAGGTTCGGTCCAAACGGACCTGATCAGCTGTTCTGGTGTGAAGAAGAGTGTGACGATAAAAACTGAAAAGATTCAGACAGAACCAAACCGAGTTTAGGAGGAAAAAGGAGGAGAGGATAAAGTGTCAGGCTGGAGAAAAAGAGAGGAGGGAGGGATGTTTGGGGGGAGGGGGGTGGGGGGGGGGTGTAGATGGGGAGAACCGAGGAGGAGAAACTCGCGCAGATTTGGCTCCGGAGACGCGCAGGTCGCAGCGCACTGCTTCACCGCTACCCGGAGGAGAACCGAACCGAACCGGAACCAGCAACCGGGATCCGCTCCGACAGCGAGGAGCTTTGAACGAGTTTTAGACACAAATAAACGTCCAAGAGGAGGAGCGGAGGCTCCGCGCGCCTCTACACGCACACAGCTGCCTCTGCCGGGGTGCGCTCAGAGCGCCGACCCGTTGGACCCGAACCGGAACCAGGACCCGCACGGATCTGCTGTTTATGTTTTCAGATGAAACTTTTCCTCTGCGGCTGGTTTACGCGCTGAACTACTTACAGGAGTGCACGTGAGTGAGCGCGCGTGCGCGCGCGTTTCGGTTTAAAACTGGGATTATTAATCCAGTTTATAGTCTCAGAAACGTGCTGGAAACCAGTTAGAAAACCAGTAAGTTTAATGGTTAAAACGGCAGCAAAGATTCAAATAGCAATTAAATATTATTTAAACTTTAAGTGTTTTTACTTAATAAACAATGATTATGAAATAGATTATATAGATTTTCTGACGTTTATCAATAAAAAATCAGTTCATCTCTAAAAGTTAAAAAAAAATCAGCGAATGAGTCTGATTTATACAGAAAAACCAGAAATCTGCAGATTTAGTTTATTAAAAAATCTGAGTCAAAAACAAAAATCAGATTTTAGATTTTTGGGTTAATTTATGAACCTTAAAGATGGAAACTGGGTTTAATGGTTACGGGTCAAAAATAAACAAACTGATAGGTTTTACGTTTGAAAAGTGATGTAATAAATGTAAAACATTCCAGGTTCAACAGAATTTAACGTTTAAGTAAAAAACAAACGTCTGCAGGTTTTCGGGTAAATCACAGAAATCAGGAATAATGGCAGCGATCCCAGCATTCCCAGTCAGACCTTCAGGATGAACTTCTGGCAGGATTTAAAACATCAACATCTTTTTATTTAAAAACAGTTTCGTGTGTGTGTGTGTGTGTGTGTGTGTGTGTGTGTGTGTGTGTGTGTGTGTGTGTGTGTGTGTGTGTGTGTGTGTGTGTGTTGCTGAGCTCTGACCCACTCCCTCTCTGGTCTGACCCCCCCCCCCCCCCCCCCCCCAGCTCAGCGGGCGGCCATGCTAAAGCCGGGCGACCCGAGCGGCTCGGCCTTCCTGAAGGTGGACCCGTCCTACCTGCAGCACTGGCAGCAGCTCTTCCCTCAGGCTCAGCTGAAAGCTCCTCTGGTCCCGCCGCCCCCCCTTCCTGACCGCCTCTCCATCCCCGTGGACCCGCTTCGCCCATCCCGACTGCACAGCCACCTCCTGGCCTCCACGCACTGCACCTCCTCTTCCTCGGCCACATCCTCCTCATCTGCAGTAGCTTCATCAGCGGCCGCTCTCACCCCATCCTCCTCCATCTCCATCTCCACCCCCGCAGGACTCTCCCAGATCCCTGTCTCTCAACAGATCGCCCTCTTTGGGCAGGCCCTGGCACCGGTCTGCTCCGGCCCTGTAGGACCCAGAGGAGGAGCGGGAGGTCCAGCAGGAGGAGGCGCGGGAGACCTGGTGGTGGTGGTCCCCCCGGAGAACCAGCAGGGTCACAACGCAGCAGTGGAGCTCCTCCATCAGGCCAAGGAGCAGAGCTGTGGGGGGGTCGGGGTGGTGTCGTCCAGCGTGAAGAGCAGCGGGGGAGGAGTGGAGGAGGGAGGCAAAGGGGGGAGGTTCAAACTCACTTCAGAGGAGCTGGACTACTACCTGTACGGTCAGCAGAGGATGGAGATCATCCCTCTGAGTAACCACACCGGGGAGGCCAACAACCGTACGTACACACACACCCACACACACACACACACATGCATTACAAACACACATGCACGCATAACCAACACACACATGTACACACACGCACACACACACATGCATCACAAACACACGCATGCACACACATGCATCACAAACACACATGCACACACATAACCACATGTACATGCACACACACACACATGCATGCATCACAAACACACACATCACAAACACACGCATGCACACACACACACACACACATGCATCACAAACACACGCATCATGAACACACACACACACACACACACACACACACACACACACACATGTACACACACACACACACATGTACACACACACACACACATGCACGCATAACAAACACACACACACACATGCACGCATAACAAACACACATGTACACACACACACACACACACCATGGAGGTCAACACCTGTACGTACACAGCACACACACTTTCCTGTCATCTTAAGGGAACTGTGGAGCTGGGCGGTGACCTTAGACCTTTCTGATGACCTCTGACATCCCACTGATGTTTTATCCTGAAAATCATCTTTAAGTGTAGATCTAAACACTTGAAGTCATTCAGTTTAAATTCTAATTTAAACATAAAACAACCTTTTTCTTTTAAAGTTGATCGAAACAAATATTTTTGAGTCAATAAAATTACTGATTTATTTATGTTTATTTGTTTATTTATTTGGCAGACACTTTTATCCAAATGGACGTACAAATGTTAACCTATAGGGCATGTTGTGATCTGTGGGGGAAACCGGAATGCAACTCCACGCAGAAAGGCCGCAGCCGGGTTTCGAACCTGCAACCTTCTCGCTGCGAGGCAACTGCACCACTTAAACAAATCTAGAATAAGCATCTCATCAGGAGGTGGCGTCTATTTTAATCTTTTGATTTTGTTACAAAATCATTTTTTATTTCTAGATTCTAAATCACATAAAGCTGGAGGGGTCAGAGGTCACGACCTCAACCTGTTTCTGCTAAACTGCATGTTTGTAGTCCAGCACTTTGATTTAAATTCAGTTAACTGAATCTAATCATTAGATAATTAATTATCGTTTTTATTTGGTCTTGGTTCAGTTTTTATTTTTCAAAAATGTTAAAATATAAAAAATTTTGAACAGTTTTTCTTGCTGCGGGATCAAATATTTAACATTCATCATTTTTATATGCGTGAATCCGCGTGCTCGTGCGTGCGCGCGTCTGTGTGAGTGTATTTCTTTAATGCATGAATGCGCTCCGTCAATACACGCACGCGCGCACACACACAGATGAAACTCCCCTCGTGGTCCGGTCGGTGTTCCGGTCCCGGACTCACTTCAGCCGCGGCGCGGCGCGGCGCGGCGCGCGCAGATGAGTCCGGGAGTTTAGCTTCTTCCTATTTTCCCGTTTTAATGAGTTTTCAAATCCCAACGTTTATTATTTTAACCTGGAGTTTATTTTGTCTCAGATGCGTTTTATTAAATGCGCCTCCAGAGTTTTTAATTAATTTATTTATTTATAAGAAATATTTACGAAGCCAAACTTTAATCGGAGCTGCTTCTGTCTCGGATTAACGGTTTAAACTTTCCTTTGATGTTTAAAACTTTGTAAATGTTTTATTCTAGGTAAAACTTTCATTTTCTATTTATAAAAATCGGAATAACCGGTTTCTGCTTTGATCTCCTCCGGTGACCGGGAAGACCTCCGGGAGGTCTGAGGAGATCAAAGGCCTCCGGCGTCATAGTGCGTAAAAGCGCGACTATGCGGCTGCAGCGGAACCGCCGCCGCACTGCTCCTCCACCTCCTCCACCTCCGGGTCCTCACCGCCATCACCGGCGCCGCGGCGTAGAGCCCAACGCCCCGCCGCCGCCGCCGCCCCTCTCCGTTCGTTCTGCGGTGATAAAACGGACCATCAGCAGTAATCTGAGTCGATACGCGCCGCGGCGCCGATGAGGGATGGAGGGACAAGCAGGAATTAATTGCTGTATATAGTTTTGTGTTTGTGGAGGAGGTGGGGGGAGGTGGGGGAGGAGGGAGAGGAGGATCGATCCACCGGCCTGCCGGCCCGCTATTTATCATCCCAACACGGCCGGATCAGGTCTCAGGGGGCGGTTTGCATGGGTGCAGATAAAGAAGTCACATGTCACCGCTGCCGCTGAGTAGTAGTAATAATAATTATAACAATGTTAATAATAATAACAATAATAAGAACAATTACAACAATAAGAATAATAATAATAATAACAACAACAATAATAATAGTTATAATTATAACAATGTTAACAATAATAACAACAACAATAATAATAATAAGAATAACAACAACAATAATAATAATTATAACAATAATAAGAATAACAACAATAATAATAATTATAACAATAATAACAATAACAAAAAATAATTATAACAATAATAACAAGAATAAGAATAACAACAATAATAACAACAATAATAATACCATCAACTATAATTTGTAAGACTTCATAAATGTTGTTAAAATTATTTTATTTATTAACATAAATTTTTTCCAAACGTTTTCTCATATTAACCATTTCAATAAAACGTTTTTTCCTGAATAATTTTTAATAAAACGTGTAAAAGGATTTAAGGATCTCTTTCATATATTTCATTATAAATAGATTTTATGTATTTATACATTGTCCTTATACTTGGTTCATGACATGAAGATATAATTTCATTATTTATGAATTTTAAACATTCCTAAATGTTGTTTGGACTCAGATTTATGCACCAGACCGGATGTCTGCTGCTGTTTTATTATCAACTCTGCTCCTTCTGGATGAAGCGTTTTATTTTTACACTCATAAACAATAATTCCTACATTTCCCACAATGCAATTATCAAACCCAGTTTTGTTGTTGGTTCATTTTCTGAATAATTTGAGAAGTTTGTTGAATTTATGAGTCCTAAAACATCACAGATCATAATTTCTGCAAGATTTCAGTCCGTAAATCTGAGAAAGTATCAAACTCAAACTTAGACTAAATGATAAAATTACACATGAACTCTTTTCCTCTTAATAACATCATTTCTGTTTTAATATTTCCTGCTACGTTTACGTTTAATTCAAACAAAAAACAGCTGAAGTTTTACATTAATGAGCAGAAAAATGTAAATAAAAACATCTCGAAGCTTCTGACTGAATCAAACAGTGAAATAAATCCTGTCTGCAGCTAAAATCGGCTGCTGGTTTAATCTGTGAAGTCAGAACTATTTCTGTCTGCTGATTTTAATCTGTCAAACTCGTCTGATTCTTGAATCAGGAGCCTTCAAGAGAAGCTGAAGATGAGGAGCAGCTCTACGTCTCCATGACTCATAAATCAAGTTTATGGAAACAGGCCTGGAACTCTGCTTGTGTGTTTACTTGGTCACAATAACTACGAGTTTTTATCCTCAGATGTTTGAACTCGAGCCTCACTTCCTGCTTTAGCCAGACAAACACAAACATGACCATTCTAACAACGTATAAAATAAAAAACTACTAAAATAAGAAAATACCAAAAATGCAAAGATGTTTTGAACAAAAAATTAATTTGATTACTATTCATGTTGAGAAAATTAATATTTTATTAGAAACTTTACTGCTTAAAATAATTAAAAAATACTTGAATTGCATTTTTTCTAAAGTTAAAAGATTAAAACATGAAACTTTATATTTTTTATTTAAATAGCCGTAAGAGTTTTATTCTGGGAGGATTTAATGAACTTGACTGAATGACTCGTCCGCCTGCTGTTCAGATCCAGTTTCTGGTCGTCAGGATTGACTCTGCTCCCGTTTGTGGATGAAGTTTAGCAGAAACTCCTGAAGTTTAATGATTTATGTCTTCAAACCTCAAAAACAGACATAAATATCATCAAAGAACCATGAGAAGTGTTTATATAAATGTATGATTATCAGCAGAAGTTGTTTTTTATTCTGATGAACTTTTAAACACGTTGGACCTTCAGTGAGGACGTGTTGAGCAGGTCTGAGTGACGATGTGTTCACAGACCTGCAAAAAAAAATCACGTTTTTTTATTCTGGTGTGTTTATGGTCCACCCTAAACTCTTAACAGATCAGAGAACATCAACCCATTCTGATCACCCGCTGAGTTTTTGATTCAACACTATAAGAAATGTCTTTTTCTTTAAAACTCTAAATAAACTCAGGTCCTGGTTTCACTTTGAATATAAAAACAACTAAAAACCAGTAAAGATGTGTTAAAATATTCAGTAAAATGTTCGATTTAGTGGTCATCTACGTTCCTACCCTCACCTATGGTTACGAGCTTTGGGTAGTGACTGAAAGAACGAGTTTGCGGGTACAAGCGGCCGAAAGGAGTTTGAAGAGCGGCTGGGCTCTCCCTTAGAGATAGGGTGAGAAGCTCGGTCATCCGGGAGGGGCTCGGAGTAGACCCGCTGCTCCTCCACGTCGAGAGGAACCAGTTGAGGTGGCTTAGCCATCTGGTCAAGATGCCTCCTGGACGCCTCCCTGGTGAGGTTTTCCGGGCACGTCCAACCAGGAGGAGACCTAAAGGTAGACCCAGGACACGCTGGAGGGACTATGTCTCTCACCTGGCCAGGGAACGCCTTAGGATTCCCCCGGAGGAGCTGGCCCAAGTGGCTGGGGAGAGGGAATTCTGGCCCTCTCTGCTCAGGCTGCTGCACCTGCGACCCGACTCCAGATGGATTATCAGTTTTTCCATATAAAAAATGTTATTTTCAGATTGTTCAGTGTTTTGATGTCATTTCCTGTTTTATTGTGAAATCTGACTTTATTTCCTGTCTGAATCTTTTATTTCCCCTCGCCGTGTTTCTGTTTAATCATCTGCTCTGTGGTTTTTCTGTTTGTTGTGTTTACTCCTGACACTGATTGGTTTCGTTTGTGCTGGATTTTACTCTCCGTGTTTCTATTCTGCTTTATTTTGGTCTTCCTGCCTGTTTCTGACTCTCTGTGGTTTTTCTGGTTCGTATTAAATCAGCAGGACTTATCAGAAATGTTTATTATCCTGATTTCTCTGGACTTGAAGCCTTTCTGCTGCTTCAGTCTCGTTCCGTAGCTCCTCTTCCTGATCCTTGGCTCCATAAAATCTCAGATTCTTGGATTTTAGGTTCATTCTTTTAGGTTTTTTGTTTTATTTGCTGATTAGAATCAACTCTTCTGGAGTTTTTATTCTCTCGTTTCCCCCCCAGTGGAAACGTTTCGTCTCCGCTGGCGGCTCACACCCTAGCTCAACCTCCTGCTGACCTGGATAAAGTTGAGAAACTCGGAGAATTTTTCCCACCTTGCCGTGAACCTGCTCTGCTTTTCCTGGTTTATAAATGACTTTAACATAATTTAATTGGCTTCGATCAATCAGAGTAAAAGCAGCTGTCGGTCTTTCAAACATCCCGAGTCGAGCGGCGTTAACATCCTGTTTCTCCGGCCTCTGTGGGAGTTTTCTGCCCTGATAATCATCTCTCATTATGTTGTTACACTCAATTAGCATCCATTACTGTCAGCCGGCATCTCTGAGTAAATGTTGACACTCGATAATTCCCCAACAATAAGCTGCTGGCCACATTTAGCCTGAAAAAACACTGCGGAGGCATTTCTCCCCCTCGTTGAGTGGAAACGGGATCCTTTTTTCCTTCGGCCTTCCACTCTGAGGCTGAACTTTTCCTGCTGAGGTTTAATTTTCATCTGCAGCAAACTGGACTCGGCTGCTGGTCATCCTGTATGGGGAGAAAACAGTCTCAAAAGATGTGTGTGTGTCTAAATTTGTGTGTGTGCAACTCTTGATGTGTAACTTGTGTTTACATTTTCGTGTGTAACTTCAGCTCCTACACATACAAATCATTGAATACACACACACACACACACACACACACACACACACACACACACACACAAACATCACGTGGTGCACACGGACAAAACTACATTACACACAGATCAGTTTACAAGTACAAAAATCCTTTTGAGACTCTTTTCACACCTGACTGATTTGGGCGTACATGGTGCGTTTGAATGCTGGGTGGAAGCTGGGAAATTAGAATTTCCTATGCAATCGGTTCAAAATTTGTGTTGACGGGACAAATATGTTTTTCTGTGGAAAAATAGAGTATCTCAGGATCCTGTAGTTATATGAGATAGGCCAACATTTAATTTTTAATCATCTAAAATTGTTTATTTAGACATATATGTGTTTGTGAGCCATGAAAACACAGTGAAAGGGTTATAAAAAATGACTAATAAATGGCAGAGTGGTTCTCTGACTGGAAAAAAGCAGGGTTCAAAAGGAGAGAAGGCACGACACAAATTTAGATACACACACACACACACACACACACACATGCACACAGATCTTTTGAGACTTTTTTCTCCCTATAATCCTGCAGGAAAACATGAAAGTTCAAAGAAATAAAAAATGCTTCAGGTCAAATAAAACATTTCACCAACAAATTAAGACTTTTAATAAACAATGTTTTGGGAAGCAATATTACAGAAAACCAAACTAAAAGACTAAAACTCACAAAATATCAAGAAAATGAAACCCAAACACAACAATTATAAGATCTGCCCATGTTTGATCTTTGATTCTATTATTATTTGAAAAAAAATCTTTATTCAGTCCTCACTTACAGATTAGCTATTAGGGATGCACGTTTTCCAGAATTAGTTTAACCTGTGATTGAAGCCATTAAATGGTCAGGGGTGTGTCCAGGGAGTGGCCTGGGGTAGCACATGCCACCCTTGGAATCTGATTGGCCACCCCAGGTGCCACCACACTAAATTACCTTTAAATAGGCTTTTCATTGTCCACAAAAGGCTTGGGGGGTAAAACAAAAAAAGCATAACCATTGGTGCCACCCATACACAAAGTTGCGCCTCACCTGGGCCCCCCCATTTTAAAAGATCTGGACACGCCACTGTAAATGGTTAATACTCGGTTAAACGTGACCTCCCTCTCCAGCCACTCGTGTTGTGATTTAACGCTAAAATAAGTAAACAGATTTATTTCGGAGACGAAAGAAAAGCTGCATCTGGATTGGTTTTTCATAAAGATTAAGCGTGTTTGTTTTTCTCTGCAGGTTGCGACATGTGTGCCGACAACAGGAACGGCGAGTGTCCGATGCACGGTCCGCTCCACTCTCTGCGCCGCCTGGTTGGCACCAGCAGCACGGCGGCACCCGTCCCGCTGCCGGATGTCCCTGATTGGCTGAGAGACCTGCCCAGAGAGGTGACTCCTCCCACTCCTGTGGGTCCTTAGTCATCTTAAATCTTTACAAAGCAACACTACTGACACCTAGAGGCCACAACTCTGAACTGCAACCAAACAAAACACGACAAAATTTTGTTTGAACAAGTTGGTGAGAAGAAGAGAAAGTTGATGCATCATCTACGATGCTCTAAATGAATCAGAAATGCAAAGAAACGTGATTAGTCTTTAAATGATTATAAATTATCATTCAGGTAAAAGGATGTAGCAAAGTTAGATCCCAACGCTGGTAAAAACCTTCAACATCCTTCATGTGTTGATGATGAATAATGATCATGATTATTGTGGTCCTGTGTGCAGGTCTGTCTCTGCACCAGTACGGTTCCTGGTCTGGGTTATGGGATCTGCGCGGCTCAGAGGATCCCTCAGGGAACCTGGATCGGCCCGTTTCAGGGCGTTCCTCTGCTGCTGGACAAACTGCAGTCCGGACCCGTCAGGAACACCAGACACCTGTGGGAGGTGCGTTCAAACACGCCGCTTCGTACAGTCTGGAAATCCTCAAGGAGGAAAAGAAAGGTCAAACTAGATATTTAACTGTTTGTGTTAAAGAGACGATGTGTAGTTTTTGCCGCTAATCTGGACTTTTTGTTGCGGGTCACTTGGACCCAGTAATGGTTGCCTTTGGCCGTCTGCCGCTGGGCTCTGACCAGCCTGTGAATCTCTTTGGTCCTGCAGGACCACCAATCCGATTTCCCTCTTTCCTATTTGTTTCTCTTTCCCTTTCCTTACATTTTTAACCACACTCATTATTTTCTTCTCATTTTAACCATATTTTTAATCATTAAAAACAAAATAATTATATTTACATGTTTTTGTTCTTGTGAAGCCCCTCGTGATTTTTATCTGGAGAGGTACTATATAAAAGGTGTTTTTCTTTTTCTCGTGTTTTGTTCTACGGGAGCCTGTGAGGACAAAACGCATTTACTGATTTTTAACAAGCGGTTATAAAACTTTCACTATTCATAAACGTTGTTTGACACGTTTACCTCTTCACTCGTTGCCAGGAGGGAGTCTGATGTTCCTAACATTTTGTTGGAGGTTGCGGTCCCAGGAATTTTTGAGCCTAAAGGGCATCCGTTGGCATACAGCTTGCTTGCAATGATTCAGATATGTACTGCCCCCATCACCAGGGAAAATACACACCATTACGTTAAAGAGCAAGTCACCTCCAAGTCAACATGTTATTTCTGATAAACTATATAAATGCGTGTCTAATCGTGCTGCAGACACGTGTAGTCAATAGTTTAGCACTTAAGTGCATTTCAGTAAAAATTTTAATTTTCTGCCTAAAACTGTCAGTGTTGTGCCGTTGTTAGGTAAAAACTCTGCACTACATTTGAATTTAAATCTGCCATCGCCATTGGCTAAGAGGTACTCTAGAACGTTAGCTGGTACCATATGACGTCACAATGTCGTTGTGAGTCTGTGTATGTGCACTTGTTAGCGGCTCCGCCCTCTCGGTCTGCTAGACAACAGCATTTGTTGCATTTTTCAAACAGGGAGTGAAGTAATACTCTGGTAGGGGGTGATTTGCTCTTTAAAGAAGAAACTGCAAGTTAACAGTATAAAATAACAAAACGTACCAGTAGAGGGAGCTTTCGTATAAAAAAAACCTCTTTGATTCTCAGATTTACAACATTTCGTTTCTCCAACTCTTAACTATTTAACTAGCAGTGCGCTACCAACACTATCTATGGTCGGGACGGTGTGCTGCTGACCTCTACTCAGGACTGTGGATCGGTGGGCAGAATACTTCGAAGACCTCCTCAATCCCACCGACACGTCTTCCAGTGAGGAAGCAGAGTCTGGGGACTTTGGGTTGGCCTCTCAAATCTCTGGTGCTGAGGCCATTGAGGTGGTTAAAAAGCTCCCCTGTGGAAAGGCTCCAGGGGTGGACGAGATCCGCCCGGAGTTCCTTAAGGCTCTGGATATTGTGGGGCTGTGTTGGCTGACGCGGCTCTGCAATATCGCGTGGACATCGGGGGCAGTCCCACTGGACTGGCAGACCGGGGTGGTGGTCCCCCTGTTTAAAAAGGGGACCGCAGGGTGTGTTCCAACTACAGGGGGATCACACTCCTGAGCCTTCCTGGTAAGGTCTATTCAGGGGTTCTGGAGAGGAGGGTCCGTCGGATTGTTGAGCCTCAGATTCAGGAGGAGCAATGCGGTTTTCGTCCTGGCGGTGGAACACTGGACCAGCTCTATACCCTTAGGGGGATCTTGGTGGGTGCATGGGAATTTGCCCAACCAGTCTACATGTGTTTTGTGGATTTGGAGAAGGCGATTGACCGCGTTCCTCGGGGGGCCCTGTGGGGGGTACTCTGGGAGTATGGGGTACCAAGCCCTCTGATACGGGCTGTTAGGTCCCTGTATGGCCGGTGTCAGAGCTTGGTTCACATTGTCGGCAGTAAGTCGGGCTCGTTCCCAGTGAGAGTTGGACTCCGCAAAGACTGCCCTTTGTCACCGATTCTGTTCATAACCTTTATGGACAGGATTTCTAGGCACAGCCAAGGTGTGGAGGGCATCCGTTTTGGTGGCCTGAGGATCAGGTCTCTGCTTTTTGCAGATGATGTGCTCCTGTTGGCTTCATCAGAACGTGATCTTCAGCTTTCGCTGGAGCGGTTCGCAGCCGAGTGTGAATCAGCTGGGATGAGAATCAGCTCCTCTAAATTAGAAACCATGGTCTTGATTCGGAAAAGGGTACACTGCCTTCTCCAGGTCAGGGATGAGGTCCTACCTCAAGTGGACGGGTTTAAGTATCTCGGGGTCTTGTTCAGGAGTGAGGGAAAACTGGAGCATGAGATGGATAGGCGGATTGGTGCTGCGTCTGCAGTGATGCGGGCGTTGTACCGGTCTGTCGTGGTGAAGAGAGAGCTGAGTCAGAAGGCGAAGCTCTCGATTTACTGGTCCATCTACGTTCCTACCCTCACCTATGGTCATGAGCTTTGGGTAGTGACCGAAAGAACGAGATCATGGATACAAGCGGCCGAAATGAGTATTTTCCAAATAGTGGCTGGGCTCTCCCTTAGAGATAGGGTGAGAAGCTCTGTCATTTGGGAGGGGCTCGGAGTAGACCCGCTGCTCCTCCACATCGAGAGGAGCCAGTTGAGGTTGCTTGGGCATCTGGTCAGGATGCCTCCTGGACGCCTCCCTGGTGAGGTTTTCTGGGCATGTCCAACCGGGAGGAGACCTAAAGGGGGACCCAGGACACGGTGGAGGGACTATGTCTCTCACCTGGCCAGGGAACACCTTGGGATTCCCCCTGAGGAGCTGGCCCAAGTGGCTGGGGAGAGGGAAGTGTGGGCCTCTCGCCTTAGGCTACTGCCCCCACGACCCGACTCTGGATAAGCGGATAAAAATGGATGGATGGATGGTTTTTCAGGCCTTCGCTGTGGTGCCCCCTACTGGCAGCAGCAGATGTTGCGTGTTTTAGGGCAAAACTCAGATATGAATGAATCAAATACACCAGTAGTTTTCTGTCACATTCTGCTGTTTCTGGTCCGTTTCAGATCATTTTTTATGCTGCTAGAAAACCTCGACTGAAACCAACCGGAGAAAAACCATAAATAACACCAACTAGTTTTCCTGGACTCACCAAGAGTAACATTTAACACCGACCACATCTTTGTTCCCTCTTTTCCTAATCAGGACTGAACTTTATTTGAATGCCGTCTCAATGCAGAACCTGTGGAGGAGCTCAGAACAGATGTCATTGGTTTAGGGACTATGTCTCTCACCTGGCCACCTGGGGCGACGGTGGCACAGGGGTTAAGCGCTCGCACCGTAATCAGAAGGTTGCAGGTTCGAGCCCCGCTCAGTCTGTCACTGTCGTTGTGTCCTTGGGCAAGACACTTAACCCACGTTGCCTGCTGGTGGTGGTCGGAGGCGCCAGTGCTCGGCAGCCTCGCCACTGTCAGTGCGCCCAGGGCAGCTGTGGCTACATTGTAGCTCATTCCCACCAGTGTGTGAATGTGTGTGTGAATGGGTGAGTGACTGATTGTGTTGTAAAGCACCTTGGGGGGTTCCATGACTCTAGAAGGCGCTATATCAAATACAGGCCATTTTACCATTTTAGTACTTTCAAATTAAAAGCTCCATGTAAATATGAATAAAGCCACATGACTTTAAACTTCTGATGTGTGTAAATATGTTCTTTGATGAGGTTCATGTGTAATTAACCTGTATGTGGTAACCAGAGGTAACTAGTACCCATTTTACTCTGACACCACACCTAAAAGTATCTCTGATATAAACTTACTAGAGGATTTCTATCCGTTTAACCCGTCAGCTGTTGATCAGATCTTCTCTGTTTGAACTGAAGACGTTTGTTAGAATTGACCTGGTAACAACCTGCTGATCGTCAGATATTTAAATGAATTCATGAGTTAATTGGTTAAGCCATCCATCTGCTCTTCGCTCCTCATCCTGAGTTAATGATTGTTTCTTTCAGCTTGTTTCACGTTGATGCAGAACCTGGAATAATTAAAGTTCTCTAGATGTGGACTAGAGGTGTTGATGCTCGTGTTGGTGCCACGCGGTCGTCGCCTCGTCGCCTCTCAGTCCATTGATCAGAGTAGATTGTATTTACATACAGTGGCAGGAGAAAGTCAATGTGGCCGTTATAAACAGCTGCATTAGCATGGGGGGGCAGTGGAGGATGCTGGGAGATGGATGAGTCCCCGGCGGCCGAGCTGCTAAAGGTCAGTCAGACGTCGGTTGACCGGACATCAGTCTCTCTGCTGTTGACCGCAGGAGGAGGAGGAGGACCGGGGGGGGTAGACTCCTTCTGAGGGTCAGAGGTCACAGGAACTGAAGTCAGCCATGTTCTTTTGGAGCAGGAGTTTAACTTGTCTGCAGGAGCAGCAGTGTTTCAGGTTTAGCCTGGTTTTTACGTCATTCATACCGGAAAACGGATAACAACAGTAAAGTTTTAATATTCAATTCAAGTTTATTTATGTAGCGCCAAATCACGACAAGAGTCGTCCAGGGTATCCGCGGGTCCTTAAAAAGTCTTAAATTTGCTTTTCCAAATTTAAGGCCTTAAAAATCCTTAAAAATGACAAATAATCCTTAAATACAGTTTCCAAAGGTCTTAAATGTCCAAAGACCCAATAAACAACATTCTTTTATTTCTATAAAATGTGTATGATGTTGGCGTAAGCGGAACCGTACACATTCAGTTGGTTGTGAAAGGGGGCTATTTTTAGATGAGCACATTAGCTGGTTAAGCTAGTGGGAGCTTGCGCCATGGGGATGTGCAAGTTTAATGGTAACTGGATGGTTAATCCCACGTTCGCGACGTGGTTAGCACCGGTTCCAGGCAATAGCTGGAAATTATAGCTTATATTTAATTTTAAAAAATTGCTTAAATTTGGTCAAAATGTCCTTAAAAAAGGTCTTAAAAAGTCTTAAATTTGGCTCCCTTAAACCTGCAGATACCCTGGTCATCTCAAGGCACTTCA